ATCGGGCTCCCTGCTCAGCAAGGAACCTGCTTCTCCCTCTGACCCTCCCCCCTCTCATGTGCTCTCTCTCTCTCGTTCTCTCTGTCTCAAATAAATAAAAAAAAAAAAAAAGAAAGAAAGCCGTTCAATGCCCAGACCCCTGGCTCCTCTTGGCTTCTTAGAGCTCCGACCAGGACCCTACTCGGTTTTCCCAAACATTTCTTCCAACCAGACGTGCTCTGTAAACACAATTCTCAACATCTTGTTATGTTCCCCCCCAAAAGGCTCTAGTGCCTTTAGCGCCCAGGGTGGTTGCTGTACTGAGCCTCTCTTCTGGGGGGCCCAGAGCCAGATTTGCGGGAGCACAAGCGGGCAGGCAGCAGGTACTTCCTGTCCGTTATGAGACCCTCCTGGGTGCCAAAGCTCCCAGCTCTGACTCTCACACCCCCAGGACTGCCTCAGTAAGCCCAGGAACCACCAGCACCGAATGGGATCCAGCAGGTGCAAGCACGCTGCCCTGCGGCCCTCCCTCCAAAGGCCCTCAGATGAAGAGGCCAAGCCCGGGCTGGGGCCCTGTCCTCCGCCCCAGCCGACAGCGAGCCAGGGTGCGAGGCCACTCACTGGGTCCTTATTCTCTTGGTCTGTCCTGGTCTCCCTGATGTCCCCATTGTAGGTGGCGGTCCGTTGATCCTCGGCCGCGCTCCGCTGCTGCCACAGTATGGCCTCTCCCTCGTACTCTTTCCTGTACAGGTTGGTCCTGTCCGACAGGCTGGCTCGACGCACCACCTTCCTGAGGGGAGAGAGGAGCTGCTGGTGGGCTGCGCCCAAGCCCCACAGGCAGGAGCGCCCCGGGGGACCGCGGCCGGCCTGCCCTGACTCACCCACGGCTCCCCGCACTGGACGTTCTCCGGCTCAAGGATGACTTGTGTCTCAGCTGTGACTTCATGATGACGTCATGCTTGTGTTTGAGCTCCAACAGCAGGACTTTGAACTCCTCCTCCTCACACAGGTCTGAAGGGGTAGAGGAGGCTGTTGTGGGGAGCAGTGCAGGGGCCTGTGGCCCCCAAGTGCCCTCCAGACCACAGGAGCTGCCACCCCAATGCACTGAAAACTCCCAGCATCTTTTGGGGGCATCCAGGGAGGGAAGTAAACAACACCGGCCTCACTTCCTGGGCTACACCCCAATCCTTAGAGGATAAGAACAGGAAACGCAGGGCCCATACAGTCACAGCTCCTAAGGTTCTCCGCTATGACCAAAAGATCCATCCACCCTCAGCAGTTTCCAACAGGAGTCATCAACTCTCCAGTGATGTAAGAAGTATCAAGAGAAACAAGCAGGTACTTTATGTAGCCCAAGCCAAAACTTGTAGATATCTCGAATCATATATACCTACCCGTTCAATCCACCCAATCCCTCATTCATCTATCCACCTACTCACTCACCCAGCCATCCACCCATAGATCCATCCCCTACCCACCCATCCACGGATTCATCCATCCATCCATCCATCCATCCCCCATCCATCATCCATCCATCCATCCATCCATCCATCCCCCATCCATCCATCCATCCATCCACCCATCCATCTATCCCCCATCCATCATCCATCCATCCACCCATCCATACATTTATCTATCCATCTATCCAGCTATTCATCTGTACACTAATCTACCCTTCATTAATTTATTCATTCATTCTTCTACCCATCCACACGCCAATCCACCATCTAGCCAACTCTGTATTTACCCAATTATCCCAATATCCATCAAAAAGTTAATGAGTACCTAAGTGTGTACTGGGTTGTATACGGGGCTTACCTATTGGCATCTCATCCATGGATGTCCTAGCACTGAGACTGGCCCCATGGGACACCAATAGCTCTGCCATCTGCATCTGAAACACAGGAAGAAGCCCACATTGCCCCTGGGCTCAAAAAGCCTAGGACGTAGAGAGAGTGCCCCCACGTTTCTCAGGATCTGATGTAAGAGTGATGGGGCAAAGCTGGTCCGCAGGGAAGGCTCTGCACCCTGGAGCCAGGAATCCTGGCAACACAATGGGCTTGACAGCTCCTCCGACCGCCTGGGCCAAGGGATAGGAGAAGAAGGAGTCCGCTGTAAACCTAGAGCTGCCAGGTATCTCTTTTTTTTTTTTTTTTAAGATTTTATTTATTTATTTGACAGAGAGAGAGCACATTAGGCAGAGGGGCAGGCAGATGGAGAGGGAGAAGCAGGCTCTCCGCTGAGCAGGGAGCCCGATGCGGGGCTCGATCCCAGGACTCCAGGATCATGACCCGAGCCGAAGGCAGCCGCTCAACCAACTGAGCCACCCAGGCGCCCCAAGCTGCCAGGTATCTAAGGAGGGACTGCAAAAGCTGCAGAGTTTTGTATCTGGGAAACAGAGGGAGAAACGACGCAAATCAGAAATGTGAGGAATTTTCTAATTTGGTAAATTTGATTATCATCTTCTTAGGACACAACTTATCAAATGTTTTTGTGAACTCTCTAGGTCTTTTCCTATCCCGCAAACTAGTTGTAGTCAACACCTTAAGTGGGTCTTGTGAACCAACTGCCAGCCCAAAGGACAGCGGGTGGGTCCTTTGTGCCCTCGCTCACAGCCCCACGGCTGAGAGTTACCTGTCCCCAGAAGGCAGCTGCATGCAGGGGCTCCCAGCCATCCCAGTCCTTCACGTCCACGCGCACCCCGTGGTCCAGGAGGAGCTCAGCTGCCCGCAGGTATCCATTGGCTCCAGCTATGTGCAGCTGAAGAAGAGGGGGAAAGTGAGCCTTCCCTATGGGTGCCAGTCCCACTTTTGGAGATGGGACAGCCCTCTTCCCAACCCAAATCCCAGCTCATTTCTGGGGATGGTAGAATGGAATAGAATGAAGCAGAAATCCAGCCACACTGCAAAGTATTACTGAGGCCACTCTTTATCGTGTGGTTGGTCTGAGAGCCCCTGTGGTTAAGGCAACAGCACTTACTGAGTCCCTACCGTGTGCTGAGCTCTGAGGAACGGGTTTCAGAGGCCCAGTGTGGTCTACAAATTGTCTCCAATGTCTACAAATTCTCTGACATACCTCCCTTAAGAGAGGAAGTTTAATTCCTCTTGCCTTGAATGTGGGCCAGAACAAGTGACTCACTGCTAACAAGTAGGACATTGTGAAGGGGTGGTGTGTGATTTCTGAGGTGAGGTCGTAAGAGGCATCTCTGCTTCTACCTCATGCTCTCTGGGATCAATCACTCTCGGACAAAGCAGCCATCATGTAGTACGGAGAGGCCATAAGGAGGTGAAACACTGAGGCCAGCCCTAACTTGCCAGCCATGTGAGTGCACCATCTTGGAAATGGATCTTCCAGCCCCAGTCAAGTCTTCAGATGACAGCAGCCTCCTGGCAGACCCCCACCAGAGCTACCGAGCTAAGTTGTTCCCAATTCCCTAACCATAGAAACCATCTGAGATAATAAATATCGATCGCTATTTCAAGAGGCTAAATTTTTGGGCTCCTTCGTTACACAATAGGCAATCAGTACATCCAATAGAGGAAAGCCTCGTGCTGAGGCCACAGCTCTTCTACCTGACACCATTCCGGGCCTCTGGTGATGGACACCACCCTGGGGACCTCACTTGTCCCATCTGCTTGATCTCCAGAAAGTACATAAAGCACTTAGCACGTGACACACACTCAGTAAGCGATGAACATTCTCAGAGAGCCGTGAGTGATGACGAGGCACGCCGTGGGAATGGATGAAGGAGTAAGGAGATGAGGCAAAGAGAAACCAACTGAGGTGCCCAGCTGAGGTGGGAGGCAGAGGTGAGAGCCCAAGCAGGCTGGCGGAAGGCTGGCTGGGAGGAGACCAGAGAGTTCCAGGGGGCTGAGGTCTGGGACAACAGAGCTGCAGGCAGTGGGACAGAGAAGGCACAGCCCTAGGAAGCAGCCCTTCAGAACATGGCCCTGTGGCCCGACGCTGCCTCATCCTGGGGTTATGGTTGCTATAAGGTTCTGGCAAACAGAGGCGTTCCTTTACTTTTCAATTTGCAGAAGAAGCCTGGGTGTGATCCGATACAGGCCCACATGAAAATTAGAATAATCATCTGATCTCTAAATGTGTGCTGTTTGCCAGTTGGGGAGATGACAGCCAGCAGGGCCAGCCAGACATTACAAACTGTGCGGCCTCACACTTGGCAGGGAATAAAAAGGCATGACTGGGATCGTGATAGTGTTAGTAATAATAATGACAATGTGAACCCCTAATATCTACTGAGAGTTTAGAGACTGTGCTTAGCACCTACTATGCAGAATCCCATTTATTCCTCCCAACAACCTGGTGAGGAAGGGACTGTTAGTAAACCCCACTTTCCTGGGAAGACCTGAGACCTGGTATGGGCCTGGCCAGCCTCAGTCCAAGAGGAGGAAACCCGTGTGTCTAGAGGCCCAGCCACAGACCCAAAGAAGCTCCAGCCAGGATGGGCCTCGCCCTGGGACAGCCTGGTTCTGCCTTCGTACCGCAGTGTTCAGTCTCACTGAATCTTTGAGTGCTGGGCTGAGCAGGGACCCAGTTAATGGGAAAGGGCATGACGCAGAGGGTGGGGCTCAGGAACCAGGTGGGAGGAGCCCAGTTATTACACCTGAGTCACCAGGTCAGGCCTGAGGGGCAGTGAGGGGTCTTGGTACCGCTGAGCCCTACCTAGTAAGCTCAAGATTTTGAGACTCCTGAGTGCTCATGGCCAGCACGGGCCCCAAGCCGAGGCCAAGGCCCAGCCATCGGCAGAGGGCGTACAAGGGCTTCCGAGGCCATGCTCTTGTTTTCAGTTTAGAGCCTCAGAAGCAGACCCTCCCCAATACTGGGCTCCATAGTGCTAGGAGAGCCTATGAAGAGAGGTCAAAATTTCCAATCCCTGACACTGGAGCTGAAAGGATGAGTGGAGCCAATCAGGCAGACCTGAGAGAGAAGTGGGTTCCCTTGTTCTCTGTCTCCATGGTCTAGTGAAGTATGTGGCACACGGGTGTGTGTTGCTTGGATGGATGAATGAACCGATGGATGGATGGATGACTGGGGGTGTCTGGACTCAGAAGTCAAAGAACCCAGGGGAGAGGCTATTGCAGTGAGGTTTGGGGAGGTTGCTGAGGCTAGGCGGAGGGGTGGGAGAGGAGATTCTAAGGCAGGAGAATGGACGGTGCAAAGCAAGGTGGCACGTGGGAGTGGATGGCTGGTGGCTCCAGTCTTTATGTGGGAGACACCACTGGAGGACGACAACATAATGAGCTCGGATGGACACCTGGAACTTGAGGTGAAGGAGGAACTGCGAGAGAGAGCTGGTGGACATCAGGGCTCCTGACCCCCAGCCCCAGCTGAGACTGGCCAGATTCTCAAAGGGGCTGAGCCCTGCTCTGCTAACTCTCCACATTCCGGGGGCAACCCCGGCCCCAAAGCGGGTCTGGAGGAGGTTCAAGGCCACGGACGGGCCCCAACTGTGTCAGCTTAACTTCAACCAGGTGCGGGCCCACTTCAGCCCGAGTTGGTCTGGTACTGAGCCCCCCAGCCCCAACCCGCCTGGCCCGTCTGCTCACCAGTGTGGCGCCCTGGGCATCTATCCAGTCAAGGTCCTGGCCCGCTGCAATCATACAGTGGATGTCTGCAATCATCCGCTGCTCAGGAGCCGCCCGCATCTCGTTGATTTTCTCTTGGGTGATGCCTGTGTAGGAAAGTGAGGACTGAGTCAGCGCCCCGGGCCCAGGCCCCACCCGGGGAGGGGTGGCGGGGCAGATGGGCGAGGCACAGCTCCTACTCCCCAGGGTCTGCCGGGCAAGGGACTAGACAGCCACGCCCATGGGTCACTGTCTCCCAGGCCCAGGGAACACGCAGCCACTAACCGGCCCACTGAACAAGGGCCATTCCTGCCTGGTGCCCTGTAGGCACTACAAGAGTACTAGTTACTGTTACATATTCTGTTCCTCTACACCAGAAATCCCTACCGTCCACCTGAGAGCCTCCAGCCGCTCAAATGGCTGGCTCTGCCTCACGCTGTAGGCCCGGCCGGGATCACCTCCCTTGCTGACCTCCTCTGACCACCTATCTGATCGCGGGCTCTGCTGGTTCCCCTCATCCCAACCATGGCTGTGTTCGCGGAATGGTGCTTCATGAGTTTCCGTTATGGGAATGAATGAATGAATGAATGAGTGAACGATTGAACGAACAAATATATAACTTCTGAATAGCACATCGAGTCCACTGAGGTGGAAGGACCCGGACAGATGTTCTGTAGCCTGAATCGCTGGCTAAAAGTCTAAGTGTTACTGGCAGCTACTAAATAGTATTTAAGGAGGGGAAAGTGACATGTTCTATACAAAGGTCCATTAGATCGAACATTCTGGGACAGAATTTGGGGGACGTCTGTAAACTGGAAAGGAGAAAAAAAAAATTACAACTTCATTCGTGCTAACGTCGAACTGAAATACAGCATTTCCTTCCATGAGGCCGAGAGTCAAATCCACAGAACTAGCAATGCCTGTGGCTTGGTCACCAACAGAAAGTGCATCTACTTTCCTAACGTGTCATCTTGCTGTTTCGTGAATTAATCAAGTTTCTACATAACACGTTTAGGAATATTTTGGTAGCCGTAGTTTAATATCATTGGGTTCCTTTATAATCAATCCTGTGATTGTGACAACCACATTTGAAAACACAGTTCCTGAAGGGGGGCCCAGAGATTCACCAGATTGGTACAAAAACGAAGACGGTCGGGAGAAGACAGACAGGCAGAGCCCGGGTGCTGGGGAACGGAGGGACCCCATCGTGGTTATCACAGCACCCCCGGGGAAGGAACTCAAGGGCAGGGTCCCGGCCGGCCCTCACGCTGCGGCCAAGGGTCTGGATTTGAGCTTTCTGCGGAGACCTCCAGAAATATGTCCGCGTGCTGGTGGGGGTGGGCAGGTCTCTGATTGCTACTTTTGTTTCCTCTCTGAAGCTCATTTGTGAGCTGAAAACAGCCCACAGCTTATTTACCCCGGCCCCTGGCAGCCAGCATGGTGCCTGGCACCGAGCGGGCACCCGCGAATGTTCTTGACTCTTGATTATTTTCCCAAATGGGAATATATCTTTCTTGTGAATGTTTATTGAATTGGATTGTCACAGTTGACGAAGGGGAGACAGGGCCAGCCGAGGCTGCCTGCGTGTGTGGGTGACACGGAGGAGAACAACGCCCCCCTCCTGCCCAGCATGGTTTTCCAAGGGTCCTTTTTTGTCCTCAGCTCGTTAATCACCAGGATAACAATTGTAATGAGGACCCATCCCATTTCCTAGGCGCTGAGCATGAGGTGGGCACGTAGCCAGCTCACTGGCTGGGAATAACCTGTGCCCACGTTAGGGCGTGCCGCCCTGGTCTTACCCTGGTACGCCATGCACGTCTCGATGACATCCAGGGTGGGCTCATCCTCGCAGAGGTCATACGGCATGTTCCCATCCGAGTTGACAGCGAGTAAGTCGGCCCCACTGCAGACAGAGGGTGAGAGTGAGGCCCGGGGAGGTGTGGCTGGGGTTGGTCTGGCTGCCTCTGCCCTCCGGCCTCTCACACGCAGCCCCACTGTGCACCCCAGCGCCCCCAGCCCTTCTTCCTCGCTGGGGTACCCCAGCTAGGACAGCGGCTTCAGGACTCAGCTTCTCCCAGGAAAGCTGTCCCAGCAGACCTCCCCCGGCTTCCTGCTCTGTTGGGCCAGCAGGCAGGCACTTGGGGACAAATGTCAAAGTCCTCCCTGGTGACCATAACACAAATAACACGAATGGCCCTCTATGCACATCATCTTCTTTAATCTTCATACTAGTCCTATCGGGTTGTTCCTGTTGGCTATCTCACTCAAGAGGATACAAAGACTCAGACAAGTTCAGTCCCTTGTCTGAGGTCACACAGTGAGGATGTGGGAGGGTCAAGGCTCAAACCCCCACTCTATTTCAATCTGTATCCCCCTGCAGAAACATCCTCAGCTCTCCCCCACTGTCTCCAAGTCCCAACCCAGAGGCTGACAGGACAGGGGCAGGAGAGAGCCTTGGGGCTCCCCAGCAGAACCTATTTTGGGGGCCAGTGGTTCCCACGTGTGGTCCTGGGCTGCCCTGCAGAATTCCCTGGGCATCCCTGAAATACAGTGCAACTTCCTGGACTCTACTCCAGACCCACTGAAACAATCTCTGGGGGTGGGGCTTGGGAGTGGGTATTCTGAAGCCACGGCCCACATGATTCTGGTACAGATCAGCACCGGGGACCCACTGCACTAGGCTGGCACCACTCCCTTTCCTCTGGGCACCATCACTGATCAGGTGCTCCTGGCAGACTGAGTCACAGCCAGGTTCTCATCAGAGGTGTGGGCATGGACTACCAGTAAGTCCTCAGGCTGAAGGGCCCTGCACTGAGACCTCTCTGTGCTCCCATGTGCCCTTGGGCAAGCTGATCCACCTCTCTGAGCCTCTACAATCACCTCCATCGCCCCCTGCAGCCACCTGATGAGCTCCTGCGGCTTTGCCGAGACCTCTGCCAAAGGTCACCTGCTCTTGGCCACTCTTCCTGACTCCCTGCACTCAGATGCTCTCCGTGGCCTCCCAGGACCGACTCTGTCTCAGCACTAGCACTGAAATGCCCTGGTTTCCTGCCCGGTCCCTTAGGACTTTTGCATCCCTGAGTGCCCAGTGCCCAGCTCAAGTGCCCACCAGTTATTAGATGAATTCAGTCGAACACACTTGAAATGGAATGTTGTCTTTCCTAGGTGTTTACAGAACCTGAGCAAACTAGAAGGAACTCAAGGGCTGGAAAGGCCCATCAGAACGGCACATACAGAAATGGCCTTATTCCTAGGGAAAACATTGCTACCTGGTGCCCCTCAAAGCAGGTTCTGCCCCCAGGGAAAAGCATGTAAATAGCATTTGGGAGACAGGGCCAAGGAAGTATGCTTGCTTTTTTTTTTTTTTAATAGCAAAAGAAGCCAAAAATGGCAACAAGACATAAAGAGTACTAGCAGAGGAGTTGAGTATAAACTCATGGATTCACAGAGACAGAGAAAAAGAGATATAAAAAAGAGAAGGCTACCCTGATATGAAGCCAGACCAAACCCCTAAGGGAATGAACTCTACAGACCCACATCCCTCATGAACACGGATGCAAAAGTCCTCCACGAAATACCAGCAAACCGAACTCAGTAGCCCATCAAAAGGATTATACACCAAGACCAATGGGGATCATTCCCACAATGCAAGAGTGGTTGCTTTTATGTTATGTGTTAATATTTTGGGGGGAAACAGCACAAAGGGAGAGACAGAATGAAGAGAGACAAAGAGGAATGGGAAAGGCACACAGAGATGAGGAAGGGAGGGGGGGCAGAGGAGGAGAGAGAGACACAGAGACAGAGGTGGAGGGAGGGTGTGGGGAGAGAGACACCAGCTCCCACGAGAGGTAAAGGAAATGGCACCCAAGACGAAAAGGAGAGAGGAGGGAGACCAAAGGCAGAAACAAAACCAACAGAGAACCACCAAAGGCAGGGCGGAGGCCGCCCCGGGGGGAGGGCCACGTACTACTGAACGAGGATTTTCACCAGGTTGATGTGGCCGCAGGTGGCCGCCGCATGCAGGGGCGTCCACAGCTCGTTGTCCTTGGCATTCACGTTGGCACCATGGGAAAGGAGCAGCTTGACAATCTCCTCAAAGTTGTCGATGCAGCACTGTGGGGGTGGTGGTGAGGGGGGACACAGGCAAGGTCAGCTTCCGCAGGGCCCCGGCACCAGTGGGGACACGCCAGCTTCCCCTCAGGAGGCCACGAGAACAGTGGAGCCAAACTGTCTGAGTCTGAATCCAGCTGTATGACTTACATGCCGTGTGACCTTGGGCAAGCCACATAACCCTTCTGAGTCTCGGTTTCCCCACGAGTAAGTTCTTAGTATTCAAGATACAAATATAAGTGAAACGTAAAAAGCATAAGGGCGTGGCAATAAGATGCTTTGCAAGTGTTGGTGAAATGAAAGGAAATTTTGAATGAGGCTTTAAAATCTTCTTCTTTTTTAATTCCTGAAGGCTTTCTTCAAACAAAATTGTATGGACGACTGTAACTTAGAGAACGAATACGTTCAAGGAAGGCTGCTCATGTTGGAGCAGGAGTGGGTGTCGGTGGGATGAGGGGGCTGTTGGGGGAGTCCCTCTTCCTGGCAGCCGCCTCCAAGGTGTGGCCCTAGGTCAGTCTGCTACCTCTCCTGACCCAGGAGCTCTGTTCTTAGGGAAGCCCCAAGTAACCAAGACTCCCCCCAGAGAACCCACCTCCACATCAGGGCTCTGGGGACCCCGATATAGCCCCTAAAGGACACAGCCATGTCTGTGCTCCCGCCTGTCCACATGGAGGTCAGTCCTGGTGAGAGGGAAGGCTCTCTGCAGCCCCCCCAGAGAGACAGAGCTCTGACAGCCATTAGAGCACTCACACTCCAGGGACAGAGGGAGAAAGACTCCAAGGGGACAGAGGGGTCTAAGCCCACAAGCAGAGAGAGGTGAGGACAGAGGAGGAAGACAGGGAGTCATTTTATAGACCAGGGTGGAGAAGCCAGCAGGGGACGAAGCAGGGATCTGGGCTCAGTACTCCCCATCCAGGTAGGGGCTTGGCCCTCATGCAATGCGAGATGTTGCAGAGTCATATTCAGAGGAGCAACATAATCAGACTTATTTTAAATCTTCCCTCTGGGTGCATGTGGAGAACAGACTGCAAGTGAGCACTTTTGGGGGAGGAGAGGGACAGTGAGAATCTATGTTGAAATCATCCAGTTAAGAGATGATGGTGGCTGGGCCTACAGGAGTATCTCTGGGCATAGGGAGAAGTGACTGGATGTCAGCAGAAGGATCAGGGGCACCTTTGGGAACCCACGACCCTGGCTGTGGGGATGGGGTAGGGGGCCATGGTACCTGACCCCATCTCCAGCAGAGCCAGGGCTCAGCACCAGAAGGGCATGTGCGAAAGGAGCAGCTGTTTACAGAGATGATGCCAGAGATCCAGATTCCCTTTCTGGTCCAGCCGGTCTGGGGTTGGCTGGGTCTGAGGGCATCTCTCCAGAAAGGCGGGGTACAGATGACTCAAGGAAGTGTGGAGCTGCCTCAGGTGGTTGAAAGAACCATGCAGTGGCACAGCATGGCCAGCAGAGGGCGCCAAAAATGCCGGAGTGGGGCTGTGGGGACCTGCAAGGGGCCCCAGGCTGTCTGTGGCAGGGAGGTGGGTCTGAGGAGCCCCTGTCCATAGGAGGAGCAGCCCATAGAGAACCCACCTTTAGGGCTGCAGAAAACATGAGGATGGGGTGGCGGGGGAGCTCAGGTTGAAAGGAGAGGGGACGGTGCACCCAGAATTGCAGTTTTGTGAGAGGGATGCCCAGCCTTAAAGGCCCGACCAGGGCAAGGGCTGGGTTTGGGGTGCTTGCTGGGGTGGTCGGTGGTGGAGCGGGCAGGCCTCCTCCCCTACACTCCCCAAGGTGGGAAATGGCACCTGCAGTTGGATGACGCCTCCCGCCCCCTCCCTTCCCACATCGAATCTAGCACCGGGTGGGGATGCCGGCTCCTAAATCCCTGCCCCCAGCCCCACTGCGCTGGTGAGGCCTCACGGTCTCTCCCTGTCTCTCCCCTTCCCACAGCCTCCACCCAGCGAGCACCCTCATCAAACCATCAGTCTCAGTTTACAAACCCCGAAGGCTCCCTGTTGCCTAGAGGAGAAGAGCCACACTCCTTTGCCAGGCGTGTGAAGCTGCTTCTTAATGTGCTCCTCGGTCGGAAGGAGCGACAGCGACAGTAAGGACAGCCCCCGGCGGCGGAAACAGCCTGTCGCTTCACCAGTAACCACTGTGAGTGCGGTGGAGGGCCACTGGGACCACCTCGCTAACCTTTGGCCACGGACTGCCTCATTCGCTCCTCAGAACAACATTCCGAGCGCTCCAGGGCCCCCATTCGGCTAGCGGCTACTGCCCTGCATGGGGCAGATGCACAGGACAGCCCACCATCCCAGAACATTCTACTGGACGGTGCTGTCCCTGAGCCTCGGTTTCCTGAGCTGTAAAATGGGGTTGATAATATTTCAAAGGGCTGTTGTGAGGATCAACTTACGCTTCACAAAAGTGACTGCACAGACGCGAACAATGTGATGGATTTTAATAACGACAGTGCCATCTCATATTTATGCAGCGTCGGGAGATGCTTGAAGGGCTGTTATGTGTATTCATTTAATCCTCACAACAACCCCGTGTTGTTGTGTGTGCTTGTTATTCTGATTTCACAGATGAGGAAAGTGAAGCACAGAGAGCTTCAGTAAGTTGCCCCAGATCACACAGCTAGAATTAGTGGATGCGGGACGCCCTGTGGACAGGAAAAGCAGCCAAAAGGACACATGGGAAGCCACTGGGCTGATGGCCAGGGGTGGGGCTTGTTCCTGGGGCTCCTGGGTGGGGGCAGCAGCCAGTCGTCGTCCATCCCTTCCTGCCCTCGTGGGCACAGGAAGAGGCTCTCACCAGCTCGGGGGTCTGGCAGCCTGGCCTCCCGCTCGCCAGGTTGCCTACAAGTCCTCCTGCTCAGAAACTTGGGCCAAGGCACAGGGAGGCTTCCCTGTGTTCATTAAGTCAGCATGCACATACTGAGCACCCACTGTATGCCAGCATGGGGAAAGACGCTAGGACATATCAATGAGCAAGAGACATGGGCTCTGCCCTCATGAAGCTGAGTCTGGGCAGAGGGAGGCCAACATCAAATGCTCAGGCTAATGGCTCAAATGGCCACGGAGGGCGTGCTCAGAAGGTAAGGATCTTATAGCACAGCACAGCTCTTGGGCCCTTGCCACCCACTGGGGCTAACCAGGGCACATGCCCACATGCCGTGAGAAATGCGGTGGGGAGGAGCCAGCATGTGGAAGGACCAGAAAAGCCACGTGGCTGGAGCCTCACGGAGAGCCGGGAAGCATGGAGGGCTGGCCAGGGGCCAGGCCTCGAGGAGCCTTGTGGAAAGACACAGAGTGTTTTGAGTAACATGAGACTTTGACCTGAGCATCCCTGCGGCCACTGCGTGAAGGATGAAACAGGGCAGGGCAACTGAATGCTGGGGACCAGCTAGGGAGGCTAGGCCATCGCACTGCCCTGGAAAGGGTGTGTGCTGTGACTGTTCCCAGTTCAAGGCCACAGATCAGGGCGTGTGAGCCCGGGCAGGTCACATGGCCTCCCTGTCAATCCCCTTTCTCACCGGGGTGGAGGGATGCCTTGGTGGGTGTGAATAAACATGCTTCATAAACTTCAAGCTCAAAACAAACTTGCTTTGTTTGTCAAGCCTCTTGCTGGGCAGTGAGGATGCAGTGGACAAAGGTTCCCTGTCCCTGGAGGCCGTGTGTGAGCGCGCGCATGTGCTCACAGGGGCTCCGTGGGCGTTTGTAACAGACACATGTCTCTCCCCCAAGTAGAGAAGAGCCTTTCAGATGAGGCCGCTGAGGCTTCCTTTCCTTCCCTCCTTCCTCCCTGAGGGTTCTGGGCAGGAAAAAGCAGAGAGGTGGGGTAATTCTTCAGGTGGGGGGCAGGGATCCAGGGACCCCAGCGAGCCTGGCCTTACCTGGTGCAGGGCTGTGAGTCCATCCTCATTGCACAAATCAGGGCTGACCTTATTCTTCAGGAAGTAGCGTACTGCAACAGAGGGGACAGGAGTGAGCATCCCATCATGCACCGGGTGTGCGGTGATGTGAGGGGCCCGGGGAAGACCCCCATTCCCCCAGGTCCTGACGCTAACCATCTTGTTGATTCTTTACAACAGGCATGGGAGGATGAGGAAGCTGCTGTGGGGAAACTAGGAGTGAGTTGGGAAGGGCGGGGAGAAGGCCACCCACTCCACAGGACAAATACCAGGTCAGCACCCCCAGCAGGTGCCGGGGAAAAGACGAGATCTCAGGCGCAGTGGGGGATGGACGCGGGCCCTCAGCTCCATCCTCCTCAGCCCCAGTTCCTGGTGCCACAGCCCTGCGGCATCCTTGGCCTGAGTGTGAACTGAGGTCCACGCAGAGGGGAGTTTGAGGCCTCCACCAGGCTTCTGGCAAGAGGTGAGGTCTCCGGCAGGCTGTGGGTTAGGAGTGGTGGGAGTCTGCAGAGGGTATGGTCAGAGTCTCTGGAGCCGCCCTGTCCTCTGTGGAACCACTTGCACATCTGGCTATTATTATAGCTTTTGAAACTTAAATTCATAAAAATTCAAAAGTCATGGGGGCGCCTGGGTGGCTCAGTCGGTTGGGCGTCTGCCTTCGGCTCAGGTCATGATCCCAGGGTCCTGAGATCGAGTCCCGCATCGGGCTCCCTGCTCGGCGGGAAGCCTGCTTCTCCCTCTCCCACTCCCTCTGCTTGTGTTCCTGCTCTCGCTGTCTCTCTCTCTGTCAATTAAATAAATAAATAAAATCTTAAAAAAAAAAAAAGATTAAAAAAAAAAATTCAAAAGTCACGTCCTCAGTTGCTCTGGCCACACTTCAACTGCTCAATAGCCACGTGTGGCTACCATACTAGAAAGTGCAGAAAGTTCTATTGGACAGCGCTGGTTTGGGCCATCATAAATGGAAATTAGCCCCATAGCCCGCTGTTAAAGGCCTTCCATGGCTCCCCACTGCTCTGGAAGCAAGGTCCAAAACCCTTACGAAGACATGCAAGGTCCATGTGATGCGATCCCTTCTGAAGGCCTCCATCTTGCACAATCCAGGGGGCACCGTTCACACTGCCGTCTACAAGACCGGCATCTCCTAGGGCAGTGCAGTGCGCAACTTGTTCAGTGGTACACAGCGCTCCTCCCTCCCTACCTACCTCTCCAGTCTCATTTTTAAAACTCCACACATCTTCCACAATGGTCTTTCATCAGGTACAGAGTCACCTTACATCCTCTGGCCTCTGAGCTTTTGCATAGCCTGTTCCCACTGCCTGGAAGCGTCAGTCATCTACCCATGTGTCCATTCATCCATCCACCCATCTACCAGCCAGCCAGCCCCATTCAGGAATCCACCCCTAACACACACGCAGGCACGTACATGCATGCACGCACGCGCACACACCCCCATCTGCCTCACTCCTCAACCTTTAGGTCTCAGCTGAAACTCCCCAGATGACGGCACCCACAGTTCCTATACATCTCATTTATAGCTTTTCACAATGATAATTATATAACTATCTGGGTAATTAGGGGCTTTGGGTCTGTCTGCGGTAGGACACTAAGCCCCAAGGGGGCAGGACAGTGACCTGGCGCTGACTGTCCTTTCCCTAAGGCCTGGCACACGGTAAGTCCTCAGCCACTCTTCCTGGACCCTGACCTCATCAGCAGCCTCTCCAGCTCTGAGCAAACCAGACCACCCCGCCTGTCCTGTGACAGCCCCTGTCACGTGCGGCGCTGCCTACAGGCCCCTCCCAGATGCCCCGGTAGCTGGTCGCCGCCTCAGGGCTGAGTAAGATTTATGGCAAGGCCACTGATCACCGAGGCCCACCCTGCCCATCCGTGGGCTGGGGGGAATGCCCTGGGCCGGGCAGGTGGCCTTTGGGAGAGTAGAAGTGGCCACTGTGTTCCTATTATGTAGGAGGGGTTTGGAGAAGGTTCTGCTCACATGAGGCAAGGGTTCAAATCCCATGGTAGGGGTTGGGGGGGTGGGGGGTGGGGGATGGACCACGCTTCCTGTCCCAGAAGACACTCCTTGAGGGAGAAATTACACACCAGCTGCCAAAAGCGTTTGTGTGCAGTAATTATCAGGGTGTTCTCCGTGCTCCTGGGAGCCCCAGATGTGGAATTACTCCCATGGCGGGCAGTTATCTTCAGCCCAAAGGTGCAACAAATCACCCCCATCTCTACAGAGTACCCGTCGTATGTAGGAGCCAAGGCCCCCTTGTGAGTGCGCTCTGCTCCAGCAGGGAGCCTGGCCCCGGACACCTCACCGGAGCAGAGACCCCCTGCCTGCACCCAGGGCACGACCAGGCCTTCCTGCCTCCGGTTCTGCAAGGAAAATGATTCCTCCATCCATCGTGTCTTCTTACTGAGCCCGTCCTCTGCACCCAGGTCCGCGCAGACTGCCTTCTCTCCTGGGTCCCCATCTGTAATTACTAACCCCGTGGAAGAGACGGAGGGTCCGGGTCACACACAATCAAGCAGAGCAGGTCGGACGCTCGGACTCTGAAGGCCAGACCGTGGGCCCCCGGGGCTGCTCGGTGCTGCCCCTGAGGCTGGAGCAGGAAGCAGGGCTGCAGGGGCCCTGACACCCGGTGTGGGGAGGAGGGGGACAGCAGTGGCCTCTGCTTCTGCAAGCTTCGGAGCCCCCGGGGCCCCAGCCGGGCCTCCTCCTGCAGACAGATGGGCTCAGCGATCTACACGCTGGACAGAAGAAACACCGCAGGTCCTGGGGGGGCACCGAAGGGTCTTTCGGGGCCGTGTTAAATGTGAGCTTGCCTCCTCCCACTTCCTGTTTAAAACGCTCTCGTGGCTCCACCTTGCTCCAAGAATGAAGTTCACAGTCCTTTCGTGGGGCTGGCCCACTATGGTACACGGGCCGAATCTGGCAGGTAACCTGTGCCTTAGATCACGTTGTTCACTGTAACACACCTGTGTTCATTTGTTTACATGTAGCCTGAGACTGCTTTCACCCAACAGCAGAGCCTGTATGACCCACACAGCCTAAAATATTTACTATCTGGCCCTTTATAGGAAAGGTTTGCAGACCCTGGTCTTCAAGGCCCTGCATGGTGGGGTCCCACCTACAGGGTGGCCACCTTGCCCCATTCCAAGGGGGCGTTGCTCTCATCATAGTCTGTGTGAATGCCTTGCCTTGGAGTTGTGCAGTGTGCAGCTTGTTCAGCTGTACCTGGCAGTCGCATCTCCGTACCTCTCCAGGCTCATCTCTTGATTTCCAAGCACCTTGCACAATGGAGGAAGCTGGCTTGGGGGTGTCTCGGGAGTCAGCTAGGGCTCAGGGAGCACAAACACAAGTGGGGCATGCTCTCCCTCTAGCCAGCCGTGTCCACACGTGGTGGCCCACACTTAGGTCAGCTCCCCATTCCCCAAGCCCCGGCTCCCAGGCTCGGCCACTGGTTTGTCAGCGTGAGCCATCTGTTCTTGCACATTTGTTCAGCTAGGGCTGTAAGCAAGTTACTCCTCCTCTCTGTGCCTCAGTGTCCTCATCTGTAAAATGGGGATCACAGCCATGGCTCCTTTGTGGGGTTGCCCTGAGGATTAAGTAAGAAAATACCTGAAAGCTACCACCATCATTTATTTTTTTTAAATACAAATGAAAAACAACCACTAAGCTCCTGCCTGGTCCGGCCAGGTGCTGGGCACTGGGGACGTAACCATCAACATCTTGCATTTCCAAGAACGCTTGCCTTGGCTGCAAAGGACAGGGCCATCTCTCTCTAGAGAGCCCCGAGCACCTGCTGGTTTGAGAACCACAACGTGGTGGTGCCCACTGCCCCCCGTGCAAGCAAGGTCCCACTAAGACGGCAAGGAGGTGGCTCCCACCCTCCTCTCCTACATTCCCGCGGCTGGCACCAACCCTGTCCCTCCGCCCACACCTCCCTGGCAATCTGGCTGGAATCTGAGCCAAGCAGGGCCATCTGCTCCCCTCCATCTCCAGCTGTAACGAGTGAGGCTGAACCGACCCATCTCGGCAGGAAGCGGGTGGAGGCTGCCTCTGCAGGGAGAAATCACTGCTGATAAGCTTGTGGGGTGTGTTTTTTTTTTGTCACCTGACCCCCTGTACGCCGCAGAGCAGAGAGCCTGACCTCGAGCCGCACACTGACAAGCTACCACAGGTGTGGTTCCTGCTCCGGGCCCGCAACGGCCAGAGGCATCTGCCCAGTGGAGGTGGACCTCGGGCAGTCCACGCCAGTCAGGGGCGCTCCAGGGCTGAGCTGCTGCCATCTGGCCATGTGACTTGCACAATCACGTTGGTGGGGTACCCTCCTCTCTCCCCATCTCACCTCCTTTTCCACCCAGCACCCAGCAACGAGGCCCACCTTTCCACTGTCTCTGAGGCACTGCATGATCTAACCTCTGCCCTTTCCCGAATCCCTCAGTGACTGGGTCACTCACGCTGGCTTCTTTCATTTCCCAAGTCAAGATGAAACAAAACAAAAACTGGGCTCCTCCAGGCTTTACACACACAGTTTCCTGTGCCTGGAGCCCTTGTTCTTCTCACTCTTGGGCCAGCAAACTCCTCTTCAAACTTCAGATTCCAGCTGAAATGCTGCCTCCTCTGAGAGGCCTTCCCTGATCACCCCAATCTCAGTCGAGTTGCCCGGGTAGCTCTCTCCCATAGTACCTTGCATTTCTGCATTTCAGATTCACAGTAGCACCTCTCCCAATTTGTAATTACAGGGTGATTAGTTAGTAGATAGTAATTATATCATTCTTTGGTTAGTGTTTTGGGCTCCACGAGGGAGCCTGGCTCCTAGCAGGGGCTCCAGGATTATCTATTGTAGCAAGAGCACCTGAAATCTACTCTCTCAGCAAATTTCTAGTTCTCAATATAGTATTATTATCATTAACCACAGTCACCATGCTGTACATTAGAGTCTATATAACTACAACTTTGAACTCTTTGACCAACATCTCAGGAAAAAAGGTAACTATATAAGAAGATGGGTATGTTAATTAGCTTAACTGTATTCATCATTTCTACATATATATATAAACATCCTGTTATACACCTTAAATATACACAATTTTTATTAAAAAATAAAAATGAACAAAAGCAGTATCTATTGTGTGAATGAACAAAGGAAGGA